TATAGGGAGAGAGACATTGCCTATACACATATTCACAGTATCTAGTAAAGACAGGCGTAATTATGAAAATGATGAGCTAAGAACACACAATCAGTAACATCAGGGTGGATAAAGATATAGTTAGTGTTGGAAAATAAATGACACCGACCTCTCCCACAGGGGAACTGTAGAAAAGGGGAGAGGCCGAAGAGGTTCCCCAAATTTATAGGGTTGCACCAAAGAAGAAGAAAAGGATGAGGAGGGGCCCTAACCGATAATGAAGATAACTACAGGCTTAAAGGTCCTAAACGTCAGGTATACCAGGAACAGTTTGGGGGTTCCATTTTGTGTAATTACAACAATGTGTAATATATATATATATAGAGAGAGAGAGAGAGAGAAAGAGAGAGAGAGAGAGAGATATTACACTTTCTAGTTGTGCTTCCTTAATTAAAGAGAAACGAGCCTCCGATCGACGTGTATTTAAATGGAAGTATCGTATTCCCGGAGGCCTGCAGCGGCTCTGCCTGCTCATCCCCGTTCTGCTACGCGGAGTGTGGGTGGTGGTCCTCGGCCGCCGCCGGCAATCGTCGGAACGCTTCGGACAGCGCACGCGCTCTTTCGCCAATCTGCTGCAGCCCTCTGATTTGACAGCTGCGTCAAGCTAGCGGAAGGTAGCAGCGAGAAACGGCGGCTGTTAAAGGGCCTCAGCTTTCAGTATAAAGGTCTTAAAAAGATTGAAAAAATGAAGGTAAATATATTTATGCAGACCAGCGTTTAGCTGCTCTCACTACCATCTTGTCAACGTTTAACTCTTGCTGCTATCCTTCTGTGAGCATCATAGTCCGCACAGAAGAGGAGGCTGGGGTGGAGGTGGGGAGTAAATAATAAAACAGATAAACTAACGGACATGATGAGATGTAGTTTATGTTTCTAGCTCAGCTGGCAAAAAATGGCAGGATTATTATAGTTAACTGAAACTAAAACTGTAACAAGACAATCCACTCTGAAACGAAACTTAATTTAAAAAACAAAATAAAAACTTCAAATAAACATAAAAAGCCAAACTAATAAAACAACTTAAACAAAATAGAAAATACAACATTAAAATAACTGGGCCCTAGCCATCAGACTTGCCTCTTCCCATTGATTTTTTATAGGCTTTCATTTCATGTCCCTCCTCCCCTGTAATTTTCCCAGATTTCACTAATTATTTCACAGAAAATTTAATTAAAATTCCTTTTTAATCTAAAAGCCATGAAATGAAATTCATGCTTTGAAATAGTCATGTCATTTGTTTTATAATGCTTGTTTTTTAACACCCTCTTAAAAATACATTTACAGAGTAAAGTCATGGACATTTTAGCTCATATAAAATGTAAATCTGAAGGTGACTGCACATTCAGAATGTAGAGTTACCTGGCCTGTAGCACATGTGGAAATGTGAAAATTGTTATAGCACAATATCCTGTGCTTGACCAGTCTATTTTTTAATAGGTGAAATGATAAAAACATGAAAAATCATACTTCTTTTTAATGTTGTTACTACCATGAAATGTCACTGAATCATAGCTGTGACCCAGTGCTGATATTTCTCCCTAAGAAAGGAAGGAGTGTGTAATGACCTGTTAGTTTGTTTATCATGTTCAAATTTTGTGATATAGTAGAAACCAATAGTAGCTTGAGTCAGGGCCACATCAAGTGTGAAAACCACTCCAAATTTTAATATTACCCACAATTTTCTTTGTCTTCAAAAGTCACAATAACATACTAGGCTTTGGGTTACTTTGGTTAAGTTTTACAGCCAACTCTTCTCCAATCTGATAGTTAAACACAGAAAAATACACCATTTTAGTATGTAATCCATCATAGATCAGAGGTCATGGCCACATTTATTTGGAAATATAAAAGCAGGCTGATGTCGTCATATTGTAATAAAAACGTAATAAATCCAGTTTTATTATAGCTCTTACCCTGTGGAGAGAGTTATACTGTGTGAATGCTCTTGTTCTGATAGTTACAGATGAAATGATAAAATCATGGAAAAATTGCCCTTTTTTTCCCCTTTTTATTGTTTTTTTGTTGTTGTTGTTTGTTCACAATGTTATTACCTTGAAATGGCACCCTGCTGATATTATTTATCTTGTGGCAGTTAGTGGAGTTAGGTTAATTGGTTATTCTAAATTGCCCATAGGTGTGAATGTGGATGCGAATGGTTGTCTGTCTCTATGTGTTAGCCCTGCGACAGACTGGCGACCTGTCCAGGGTGTACCCCAGCTCTCGCCCTATGACAGCTGGGATAGGCAGAAGAGAGTGGATGTATGGAAAAGCTGGTAATGGTTAGTAAAATGATACAGATGGTTAAAGACTCATGCAGTAAAGAGGATGTATTTTGTCTCACCAGACAACCAATGTACTTACTTTCAGTTCTATCACCCCAGTGTCCGCGCCCGGCTAAGTCGGAAAAGCGTGAGTCTGGGTTCGAGCCCCACGTTGGGTGTTAGTGTTTTGTGCTATGACCTTAAATCATTCACAAGTATGATGCTACGAAGCTACAATGATCTACTGTGAAGTCTGGCTTATAGTGGAAGCTAGAACTCAGAAAGAGGAACAAGTTCGGGTTCTTCCAGTCTGCAGAGTGTAATGAATCCCGATCCATAGATAAGGCTGTTTTTTTCATCGGAAGGCCAGTGGTTCATTCCGAAATCCTCTACTCTACATGTTGACGTATCCTTGAGTAAGTTACTGTATCCCGAGTGCCTCTGATCACCTGCACTGTAAATGTTTTTTTGTTTCTTTAGTATTTCAGATTCAGAAGAATTATTACTTTATATTATTGTTAAGCACTTTGTGATTTGTATCTTTGAAGCGCCGTGTGAATACGTTTTACCTACTTGTGTGTAAGAAACCTATAAAAAAAGAGTAGACTTTTATTTTGAAGGACAAATCGGAAGTGGATTCTTTGTACGCCAGATTGCAGCTTGGCGGTCATCGGGTTAGACGGACGCTGCCTTGGAAACGACATAAATCCGGTCCACGCGAGCAGGGACCCAGATTTCTCCACTTCAAAGGCTTCCGCTCCTCTGCCCGCTCCGCCTCTTCTCCATCCAACCATCCATCCTCCCTCCGGCCCGAGCCTCCAACACGATCGTTCCGAAATGAAATGCGGGGCAGGGTGAGGAGAAACGGTGAGAAGCGTTTAAATAACCGAGAGAGGAGAAGCGGAGAGGAGAAGGTGACGGGAGAGCCCGAAGCCAGGTAAGAAGGGGGTGGGGGGTCTAAAGATCGGTTTTGCGTTTGACAGCGATGGTGTGGACACATGCCCACTCCCCTTGGGAGCTGGTACACGGGGGAAAGGGAAAGGGAGGGCGCATTTGTTGTTGTTGTTGTTGCATCGCGGGGCTGCACGCGCAGAAAACACGAAGCCCTTTGATAATCGAGAGGAAAGAGATGCATGCTTCTTTGGGACGGCCGGGTTTCGCACCATTTTCTCCCTCCTGCAATCGTGATCGTCGCTTCTCCCCCTCCATCTCTCTCCCAGTGCGGTTGGTCAGGTGCCTCTCCTCCCCTCTCTCTCTCTCTCTCTCACTGGCTGCAACAAAATGTCAGCAGTTGGGAGAATGTGTTGTGGGATTTGGCTGCAAACTAGCTTGTGGCGGCTAGAAAAAAGAGCAGTGGGGCTTATGCAGGAGGTGTGCAGGGTGTGGGGGGGATTAGCGTGTGCAGAGGATCTACTTTGTCTCTACATAATGCTACAACAACGTGTGCGCCCCCCCCCCCCCCGTTTTCTGTCTATGCGTACCTGATTTTGGAATTCCTGCAGATATTTTAATACGTCCATACTGAATTAAATTGCCCATTAAGCTGTGCTTTCATGTCTTTAACCGTGAAACAGGCCTCAGTCAGATCACAAAAAATTCCAGATGAGTAAGTTTCTATTATTGTGGCTCCTCTCTTGCTGCTTCTGCTCCCGAAGATGCTCCTGTTGCTCCTGTGTGTAATTTAATTCATTAATTCATTTCATATTCCCTGTATGGAGGCCTGCTGCAATGTGAATCCAGCCAACTCAGCCACCTGGAGGGATTTGTGCACATTACTGGCTCTCTGGCATGTTTTATTTAAGCAAGAGGCAGGGGATAATGGTCCGAAAAATGGGGTGGGGCAAAGGAATTAGACACTTGTCTGGTTGTCATCCAAATCTTTATCATTTATTCTGTAAAAATTAACCTGTCGTTTATTTGTATCTATATGTTCCCAACAGGCAACAGTCTTTTGTAAGCCCGGCTAGCTCAGTCCGTAGAGCATGAGACTCTTAATCTCAGGGTCGTGGGTTCAAGCCCCACGTTGGGCGTTGCACTTTTAAGACAGAACCTATTATGGATGGTTTACAGTTTAATGCCCCTTTTCCATTTATACCTCCTTGGATTTACTCAACTGGTTTACCATTACAATCAATGGTTGTTGTCAAAGCAACATAGCCCAGCGTCCTGTGACATAATTGGTATGAGTCATGAACGCTTCAACAAATGTCGTCGAGGCAACAATATACCTGCTGCTCGCTCTGTGGCTTTTCGTGTATCTACCACATCGTGTGCTTGTAGCCATTTTCCTCATTGCCGGGTTTCAGAAATGGACGTTTTGATTTTTTTGTGAATGAGACGCTCTAATCCCTCATTGAGTGACGCCACTTACCAGCCAATTGGTGGCATGCATGACCTGCTCAGATTGCTTGGAAGCCCGGGCGAGCAGGCACTATTTAGTACAAAGTACTATGACCTAATGGAAAACCCTTAAAACCGTGGCGATCTGAGTAAGTACTAATGGAAAAGGGGCTCAGCAAACTACAAGTAATTACTATAAAGTCTGGCTTATGTGCAATCTGTTACTCAGAATGTAGAATAGGCCACACTCCTACCACTTTGCAGAGGAGAAGCTTCCTTTGGCGTAACACCGAGTCCTGATGCATCAAGTGGAAGGTCTTATCGTTCAGGGCATAGAGGAGGTTGTTTCCTCCTTGACAAGGGTTGGTGGTTCAATCCTCAGATGATGACAGTAGCTTTAGACCTCTCTAAACACTTGGTTTCAGATTTCTTTTTTCTTTTTCTTTTTTTTACCAATAACTCTATATGATGTCAGTGAGTGCAGAGCACAGAAGCCCCACCCACTTCTAGTACAAACCTTCTGTTTACATTAAGCAGCCAATCAGAATAACAGCTTTATCTGCATGGATTGGATAGGATCTTAAAGTGAGGCCTCTACCAGTGTAAGCAATCCAGGAAGTGGAATGACTTCAAGATTTGGCCACTGAAAATAAGTGCTCTGTTATGAACTAATGCACTGAGTCCAGTTCTGTGAATCCTTTCAAGTCTAGACTCCAGCCTGGGTGAACAGTGATTAGATAATAGGCTTCTTTTATGTGCGTTTGTGTAGCTGCTGTATTCATTGGAGACGGTGCTCAGAGAGGCTTGCGCTGATTTCTTACATAAGCGAATCATCGAGGAATAAGGGCGAAGAGCGGTGAGCACTAAATAAGCATAAACGCTCCAACAGGGGACACACAGCACAACACACACACACAGATGCCTAACTGTACACACATAAACACATTCGTACACTCGTACACAGAGTTACTTCAGGGCTTGAAGCAAAGACAAAGGAGGGCCGATGCTGTGCTGGATGACAAAGGCATGCGCTCTGCTGTGGGCACAAAGGCTAGTTTTCTGGTTTTCAAGGGCTTTTTACATGCATAATCCCCCCTTTCCCCCAAAGGTATTTTTAGTCCACTTACAGTTACTGATGCCCTGACTACAGCCAATTAGATAACACTTGTGAAAATACATTATTAATGTGTACAGGCACTAAACTAAGGCCTGTTTTGAGGAAGTTATTTCCTAAGTGTTTTTACTTAATGCATTATGGTGCTATTACTTATTAGCCTATTACTTAGCAACATCCATTAAGACTTGTTGAGCTTATCTAGTAAAAATCCATCCGCCCATCCTTACACAGTGTTTTGTACTATTTATTTGTTTGTAGATCCACTAATTTTTTTTGTCATTCTTAGAACTTTGGTGTGTTAGAACCTTTGTTTTCTTTCTTTTTTTTACATGAGAACTGAGCCAGACTAGCATTTTCTTCTCTTGAGTAATGAATTAAACTTCCTGCAGTGATTCAAATATCTAATCAGCCACCTGGCAGTAAATTGATGCATTTATTCATGTAGATGTGGTCCAGATGATGACCTGCTCATATGGTATGTTATACCCCTGGAAATGAAAGTAGTTTAGGTTGTGTAAGCCTGGCTAGCTCAGTCGGTAGAGCATGAGACTCTTAATCTCAGGGTCGTGGGTTCGAGCCCCACGTTGGGCGATTCTCTTTTAAGACAGAACTTACATCAGTTTACTGTCATGTAAGCTGCTGAAAAACAAGATTCTTTGGGCATCATACTGAATCTTGGTGTGGATTCAGGAGTGGAGGTTGTCTCGTAATTGTGAAGGTTTTTGGTTGAATCCTCAGATTCTGCATGTTGATAAATTCTTGAGAGTCAGTGAATCCTCTGAATGTGAACTTTTGGTTAATAAAGCTTTTGTGTGTGAGTGAGGCTAGTGGTAAGAAGTCATTGCAAGAGCTCCTATCAAGTACCAGTCATTTACCACTAAACCACCAGCTCGTAATCTGCACACTGGATTAACTGTGGATTATAATACATTCTGACTAACAGCTTTCACAATTAGGCAGACTTTATAACAATTATCTGTACTAGACTGTAAAGTCCTAAAACACTAACGCCCAACGTGGGGCTCGAACCCACGACCCTGAGATTAAGAGTCTCATGCTCTACCGACTGAGCTAGCCGGGCTTGCATCTCTGGAAGAGTTTTCGAAACACCACTGGCTACTTGAATATTGTCACTGACAAGGTGTACCATCTACTAATCACTGCTTCCAGCAGGATAACACACCATGGCCCAGAGCTCAAATCACCTGAGACTGGTTCACTATACTTAAATGGCCTCCACGGTCACCAAACCTCAATCCAATAAAGCGGGAGACTGAACAGGAGATTCTCGTCATGAATCCTGAATCATGTCAATATTTGCCTGAGTCTCGATTTCCACTGCAGCTTTTGGAAGATAGAGTCTGAATTTGGCATGAAACAACATGAAAGCACGGCTCCATCCTGCCCTGTATGGTCCAGGATGATGGTGGTGTCATGGATCCTTTAAACACCACAGCCTTCCTGAGTGGTGTTCCTGACCGTGTTCCAGCATGTGACCAGCAGAATAACACACACAGTAAAATTACTGGAACACATCTTTCCTTTAATCTCATAAAAGAAACAAGTTAGTTTGACTTGTCCTTTATCCACGCTTTGCGATGAAGGCTGTGTTTATGTTCAGCACCAGGCCTGTTTATGAGCGTTCTTTTCAGAACAAGGATCAAATATAGCTTCACCCCTTTGTTTGTGCCTCACTCCTCTGAGTTTCTGGTCTTTTAGAGACCTCACGGCCCCCTAGATTCAAATGAAGGTTGTTGTCTAAAAGTCACATATGAGTGCTTATTAGCTCTGATTCAGTGATGTTGATGCTTGAACTCGGTAGCTTCCAGACGGAAACAGCCTTCCATCTTAGATGAGTTGTGCGTGAGTTTTTTTCTGTCTTTGTGAGAGATTTAACCCTCAGTCTTCCACGTTTGCCTCAGAGGATGATTAGGATTCCATCAGTAAGTGCCGTGTTTTCACCAAAATCTGTATTTCAGGAGTCAGCCGTTCAGGGGATCCTCTTTTTTTCTCCGGTAGAAGGCACATTATTCATTTTCCAGACATGCATTTGCTGTTCTTTCCTCCCTGAGGGGCCTGTTCTGGTATTGAACCTCCAGCCTGTTTCTCTGCCTCTGAACCAGAGCCGGTCAGCTTTAAACATTTCCAGGTGACAGGAAGTGGGGATTTTATTGTATTATTGCAACAGATCTCTGCCTTCCTCGGATTTTTCCTCCAACACATGTTCCGTTGTGGTTAATGGTTTGAATTACTTCTGAAGATACACAGCAGGCTCTTCAGGGTGCACTCATGCTGAGTGATGTGGCCGCTTAGAGGTGGACTCTTGGGCTTTTTTGTTGTTTGAATAACCATCTGACATGCTGAATAGGATCTGGCTGTCGTGAATTTTCCATGCTCTGTTCTTACTTAAAGGTGGTTGTATCGTATTCGCTTAGAGCCACTGCCCCATTTTCTTCATATGAGTGTCTTATTTTTGTCTT